TCGAGAGAAGCAGTTTTTGGATTTGAGAGGTTTGAAGCGACACGGAACAGTATAAAGTGTTTTTCATGATTGTTGTCAAACGCCAACAACCGCTACCACCCGTTTGCGGGTGAACCAATCAATCCTCTAAGAGTTCAAATGTTAAATTTATTTCCTTTTTTTTCAATCGTTCCGTAAATAATAAGGGGGTTTTCATACACTATAAAGCATGTAAAATAATCAAAGTTTTTCTAAGAGAATAAAGCTATACACATTAATATTGGTCACCATCTTCAGCTTGCAACTGAGAAGCATACTGTAAATTCCACAAAATATCTTCGAAAGATGGTCTGCTTAAAGATTCCGGCGAAACACATTTGTTCATAAGACTTATCACTCTTATCAAAGATCCGTTCCGACAAGTAGCTTGTACTGTCGGATTCACCATTCTCCTCCTTCCTTCTTCGCTCTCCAATGATGCCTGAAACAAAACCAAAAAAGAAACAAACAGAGAGATCATAATAAGTACTATGACTCAACAAGCCTGGTTTGTGAATGCGATCTTGCGAAAACCGTACCAATTCATCCCGAAGAAATGCTTCTTCTCTTGCGGAAACCGATGGTCCAACGATAGATTGTAGAAGAATCAATCCGAAACTGTAAACATCGTCTTCTAGTCTTGACATTTGCCATGATTTTGCAATTTCCTGATAAAAAAAGTTTGCCATAGGAGTGATCAGTTTTGCAATGTTATGTTTTAAGAACAGAACATTAAAGTAACGAGCTTAACTGTGTTATGTCTCGTTGCTTCAGAGACAATGGACAAACCATAATCACTTAGCTTTGCAAACCGGTGTTGGTTAAGCAAGACATTGTTGGTTTTAAGTCTATTGCTGAAGAATCCAGGAATCACTCCAGTGTGAAGAAAATGAACAGCCTTTGCAACACCTGTAAGTACATTCAGCCTCTCTGACCAATTCATAGCCTTACCATAACTATCATCTGCGGGAAAAAAAACCAAAAAACCCGCGATAAGGTTTTGTCGAAAATCTTGAATCTTTTTGTCGAAAAAAGACAACATTTGGAGATTTAAACCTGAGAGACAAGATTGGAAGTTTCCATTAGGAATGAATTCATAAATCAAAAAGACTTTTTCGACGCTGTAATCATCTTTTCCTCCACAATCTATGCAATGACCCAACAAGCAAACAAGATTCGGGTGTCTAAGCTTCGCGAGCAAATCCAACCGCAGTTTTAGATTCCTTATCGAGTATTTCTTCGATGAAGGCAAACATCTTATTGCTACTTTTGTTCCATTCTCAAGGTTTCCTTTGTAAAGCTGAAAGGTATAATAAGCAAGTCTCAGAATCTATCTCTAAAGAAGATAGATTATGCTTAAAACACAAATGATTTCATGAACTTTACCGTGCCATATAACGAGCTTTCACCGAGAATCGCAGTTTTGTCGAAGTTCTTTGTAGCTTTAACTATCTCTTCTAAGGTAAACTGTCTACATACCGGTAAGTCCTCTGAACCAAACTTGGATGTTTCAGAAATGTACCCTAATCATAATCACAAACAAAAGAATTGTGTACGTCAATGTTTTTCACAATATTTGAGAATTTACGGGTT